GTCCCTGCCCATGGCAGGGGGGTTGGAACTGGGTGGTCTTTGAGGCCCTTTCCAGCCCAAACCATTCTATGATTCCATGATTCCATGATTCTATGTTACTGGCTCTTCAGCTGCAGCACGAGGGCACAGGGTTGAACAGCTTCAGGCCAGCGTAAATGATGCTGACCTTCAGGATGAGTCTTTGCAGACTGTGCCAGTGCTTTCCAAGCTCTCTGAGGACCCAGGCCAGCGGTTAACACTTACAATATTAACAGAGGAATGGGCATTTGGATCTCTTTGCATTAAGAAGTGGCACTTCTGCCAACAGCCCACCTTCTAGGTAACCCAGGCTGATGCCCGGAGAGGCCAAGGCCAGTGTCCCTCCGGAGCAGCAGTTCAGAGGAACTGCACAGGCTGCTCTGCTGTGAACGTAGATCCTTCCTGGGGCTTCCTACGGGCTGCTCCACACCCTGACCGACATCTCAGCCGGGCCAGGAACGAGCCTCACAAAGATCACCCAGGGGGACATGACAGATCGGCTCCGAGCACAGACCAGCCCCGGAAAGCAGGACGCATCGGCCGTGTCCTGTGTTGGAGGGCCACCCTACGGCCAGGCAGAGCCCAGCACAGTTCCGCTGCTGGAACAGGGTTTGCTTTTGCTCAGGGACCCAGAACAATTGGTCCCTGCAGTGGCATCCAAAAGCGTGGCCCTCCACGAGCGACGGACAGAGCACTCCGTGCCGGGAGGTGACCCCAGCGGCCTGACAGCAGGTGCTCGGTGCCCCAGACGGCCCCAAACTTCCCCTCCCCGTCTGTCCTCCCCCAGTGAGCTCACCTGCTCCTTCAGCTCGTCGACCGTTTTCTCCGCCTGCTTCACCTCCTCCTGAAGCTTCTCCCTCTGCTGACGCAGGGACTCCAGCTCCGTGTTTTTCTTCTCCATTTGCTTCTGAAGCTTCACGTGCTCCTGCTTCTCCGACGCAGACAAGTCCCGCATCCTTGAGAGAGCAAGCAGCCCTGTCACAAGCCCGGCAGAGGCCCAGGTACCGGAGCACGAGGAGTTGTACCCTTCCCAGACTTTGCTCTTGGTGGGCACCAGCAGAGCCAAGACCCCCTGCCCCTGCTGGCGCTGGCTGCC